TAGATATCAGCAAGCAGTGTACACACCATAATACACGAACATTTGGGTATGAAAAAGGTGTTTTCCAAATGGGTGCCGCGTTTGCTCACACTGGAGCAAAAACAACAACGAATCGATGATTCAAAGAGCTGTTTGGACATGTTTACGCGCAAAAAGTCGGATTTTTTGCGTCGGTACATCACGATGGATGAAACATGGATCCACCATTTCACTCCAGAGTCATATGGCGAAGAAAACAGTTTTGTTCCACCAAGACAATGCACCGTGTCACAAGTCGATGAAAACGATGGCAAAATTGAACGAATTGAGCTACGAATTGCTGCCGCACCCACCGTATTCTCCAGATCTGGCCCCCAGCGACTACTGGCTCTTCGCAGACCTCAAAAAGATGCTCCGTGGTAAGAGATTTACCTCAAATGATGAAGTAATCGCCGAAACTAAAGCCTATTTTGAAGGCAAAGAAAAATCGTTTTACAAAGGCGGTATCGAAAGATTGCAAAAGCGTTGGAATGATTGTATCTCCCTAAAAGGGGACTATGTTGATGAATAAAAACGAATTTTGGCAAAAAAAATGTGTTTTAATTAGTTAGTCACACACATTATTAAACGAAGTGTTAAAGTCTTTAAATTATTTAAAGTCTTATTTAAAACATTTTAATTTATTTGCGATACCATAAAAATAAAATAATTTAATGTTACAAAAACATAACAAAGAAATTAATTGTAGTAGATTACAAGCATATTGCGGACCATACCTATATTAACCGCAAGAGGCCCTTGGACCGTGCTTTGGACAGCCCTACTCTAGATGACAATATATAATCTTGATATTAGTATCAATGCGATATGGTTAGTTGAAATTTAAACTTGTATTCATGCTGTACTTATGTTCAGAAATATACACAAGCGTCATTATATATATATTATTTATATATCACAAGCGTCCCTTACTGTTGTCCTTTGTATTTACTCAAGAAGTGATTAATAATTCAACAAATTTACGTTTGGTTTGAATTATTTTGGCAACAATCCAAAGCTATACTAACTACTACCGCAATTTTGATTTCATTTAGTAGAAGTCACATCATCCGAATTTCTATTCTGTGGTTCGGGACTATCAGTGAATAGTCAGCATTATGCCAAGGGCGGGGATATACTAGAATATGTTTTTAGTAATGATTTTGTAGTATATATCTATAGATTATATTAGATATACCTATTAAGGTGGCTATTTTTAAAACTATATAATTTTTATTTTAATATAAAAATAAAATAAAACTGTATATTATTATCATTCTGTTCAAGTACCGATCGTCACTTATACATAGAGCTTTTCTAAGTATTAATGAGTGATCCAATAAGTTTCTCCGAGATTCAGTACTTGTACATAAGATAATATTTTAATATGTATTATTTCTCTTCCTCCAATATATCTAACCAAGTTAAGCCTTTCGAGAGTACTTTATGAGAGATGAGTGCAGTATTACGTATATATGAAATACTTTCGTATATTGATTTTAAGGTTCAATCAGTGGCGAATCAAAAGGAGATTTTAATATGACTTAGTTTAATGCTTATCTAATATTATTTGATTTATTACAAACGACTTAGTTACATTCTTTTCTAATATGTATAACAACAATATCTTTTATATTTTATAACAAATAAATTCATATAAAAGGTATTAAGGTTTTGAATTGAAACAAGACGAAAACTAATTTCCTCTCTTATTTCTCTTTTTTCTATCTTATCCTCTTTTATTTGGAGAATCTATAAGATAAGCATAATGTTTACTTTTATATATAAATTTTTGATAACAAATCAAAGATATAGTTTAAATTAAAAATTACTTTATTTGGAATTATTATAATTCTTATGAACAGTTACAGGAACTAATATGTTAAATTAATTTGTCTGTTGATGTGAACAGATCTGAAGAATTTGTTTCGCAAACCAATTCCATGATTTTTATCAACTCTATGTTTTTGATACATTCCAAACCTATGTTCTGAATAAAATTCATTTATTTACTTTCAGTTTAAAGATCCCTTATAAAAATTATTTATCCTTCTAGAAGTGTTATTCCAGATTATTTAATTAAACTGGTGTAATGCTTATCTAGTTGAGTCACTTAAGCTGGATTAACACTTCTTTAGCAGATGCAACACAATTTCTCCAAAATATTTGTGTTAAATCTTAACAACTTTTCGAAACCACTTCAAACATTCCAGATTAGCTACTCATACCTAATTAGATAAATTTTCAAATTTCTTCTAACTTTATGTACCCTCTAACCTCTTTTATTTCATATGATCATGTTTTCTGTTTGGTTCTTCTTATCTTTAATTTAATTTTCCATTTATGGTTTGATGTATTATAATATTTTGTTACTCATAAACGTTTCTTTATGTTTTGACCAAATGCCATGGCCAAAGGCAAAAGACTTTTTCTCAGCAGACAATAGCTCCGTCGTCGTCAGCGGGCTCCGTCGTCGTCAGCGGAGCGTAGTCAAAATTTTAATCGTAAAAATATTACACTCTAAAGAAATGTTAGTATATAATTTGAAATTATAGATGACTTTTTTAAATTAAACTGTAGTTTATTATGAACCCATCGTGAGAGTCATTGCATAGACTGATTTGTAATAGCAATAGAAGCTATTAGAAATGGTGAATGTGTAATTTTTTTTATATAAATACCGAGAATGGAAAAATAAAAAGCAAAGTAATAAATCTAGTATGATTGCAAGAACGGCAGGGTCTTCGTCCCAAAGACACTCGTCGTTATCGATGACCAAGTGCCGTTCGACACCTCCCAAAGTGACTTTACCAGTAGGTCTCAGCGAGCTACAACAACAATAACATAGTACGATTGATTGCAGAGTCAAATCAGCAAATCAACATATATAAATATACAATCTGGAGCTGGATCTATGAATTAGTTCTTAGTAATAAATTTTGAATCCCCTTACAGTACTCAACAGCAAATAAATGGTGTCAACGCTATCAATAATTAATCAAAAATTTTAATTGATTAGTTGCTTTGCCATTACTATACTACTATGAATAAATAAACCCTATATGTTTTCTTTTTTTTTTGCGGCAAGGAGGTGTGTGTAAATTCTATGCACTGACCACACTCCGGCGCCCCGGAAAGTCAATGCCCGACTCGCACGGACTAAAACCACTCTCCCTCATTCCTAGATATCTTGTCCTACCACAAGAATACGTAAATATTACTTCGAAGCTGATATATTAATTTGTTTAAATTGTGTAATATTGAACCTTGTTGGTCTTCCTCTGTATAAATTATGCTAAATAGTAAAAATATCAATAACAGAACAAAATATGTATATAGTATTTTCCACAAAATTAGGCAGTAGTTTTTGATAATATGTAGATTGGGATATTAATATTATTATTACGTAAAATAAAAATAAATAAATGTAATATAATAAAAAATACAAATGTAATATGAAATCATATAAAATATAATAAATATATGTAAAATAAAAATAATGGTTTTCAAAAAGTAGTGAACTACAACAACAAAAATTCATTTAATATTAATTAGATGAATTGAATTTTCGGCTGACCATACAGCTATTTTCAGTATTGCTAAATACCCATCATCAGTAATTTTGGAAAAATTTCTTGTATTTAATTATTCGTAAATAATTTTTTTGAAACTTCAAGTACCGAGCGTTGAATTCGTGTCCTGCCAAATTTGAGTGTCAGAGTCAGCGTTCATTAGCTCACTGTCCCAAAACTGTACTAGACTTTTTATGTTCGCACATTTTTTAGAGTTTTGTTAATTTGCTATAAAAGTTTATTAACAAATTCACTTGCTGTGTTATACTATTAGAATAAAATCATAAACCAGTTGTGGAATAATTGAATTAATTTATTATATTTTATTTTTAATTGTAAAATTTTAATACTAATAATGGAAAGAATCAGCCTATTTGAGCAAAAACATCTTCGGAATTGCACCAACTACAAGCGCAAGCCTAACGGCAACCACTTCCCCATCTCTGTCCTTTATGACAATGCCAAGATTACTCGTGTTGACGAGTACCTCTTAACACTTGCTCGTAGATACCCGACTAAAATTCGCCTATTGGACTTTGACTCCCTGACGTCTCCATCTCCAATACCCTCTCTGAAGACTTCATTCAAGCCTTGCGCTACAGACCCCCTAATACTTGTTCCACCATTTCGATGAGTGTGACCGTAATCTTCACATCATATCTCTTTATAACTGCGGCTTTCATGACCCTAATCTCAAAGTTTATCACTAGTCTCAACCGTGCGTGTGCGCTTTAATCCCAATCCCTTTACGTCCCTACTTGCTGGCTTAGATCAACCTAGTTCGCGAGGTATGCGTTCACATCTCTCTCTCCTTTGATTACTGGAATGAAGTTTCCTCATTGCTGTGGAAATCTTCTCCACCAACTGCAAAAATAAAAAAAAATTGTGATAATATTCTGTTTGTAGAATATAAAAAAAAAAATTAATAATAATAAAAGTAATATAAAAGTAGTATATTTGTATTATATTGTATAAAGAATCATGGGTCTACAATAAATTTAACTTGAGTGTAACTGTTGTTGTTATAATTATCACTGTTGCTTTAGCTTCTGCTATTGCCTCTCTGGTAACCGGCATATGCGGCATACTGATGGTACCATACTCGTATACACTCGTACTATGTTGAGACTGTCATAAACACAAAAGATTTGCGCGCTAGCAGAAGCTATCGCAGGTGGAACTGTTGAAAATACTAGAAGTTTGTGTTTGTGTGTGTGTGTTTGTGTTTGTGTAGAGTACAACCCCAACCGAAAGACGTATGGGTATATGTGATGAGTCTTTCTTCGTACTTTTGTTCTTTTATTTTGACTCCAACAGTTCTTACCGTACCACAAATGTTTTGAAGTTGATTATTATTTGGTTTTGTTTTTGTTTAGCTTTTCGTTGCTTTTCGTTGCTTTTCGTTGCTTTGCTTGCAACTTGTGTGTGCAAAATCGCTTTCCTTGGTTTGGTTGTTTTGTTGATTGGCCTGGTCTGGTCTGGTCTGGTCTGGCATAGCATGGCATGGCTTGTTTAGTAAAAAGCACTGTGTTCACTTGCAACCGATTCAGTCTTTGACGAGATTTTATCGTCTACGTACGTGTTTTGCTGCGATTGCGCTGTGCCAATTTCTATGCACGTTTATTTCTAAACACGAGAAAAATCCAAATACGCGAAATTTAGACTGCAGTTCAGCTCGGTCGATGCGTCATACAGCATTCAACAGTCTTCAAGAATTGTTTGTACTCAGCTTGGTGCTTCTTCACAGTTCGTCGAAACTGTAAACTCACGCTGCGGTTTTTAACGTCTGCCCGGTTGGAGCGGCAGCAGCAGTTTTCCGTTGTTTGCACTCATTGTTGCACAATAATTCTGTTCCGTATTGTTGACTTATCACAAATTTGCCATCATTCACGTGCACTTTGCTCGAATTTGTAGTACAACAAAAGGTGGCGCTTGTGTTCTTGCGGAGCTAGAAAGAAAGGAAGTCCGACGATAGACCGAATTAATTTTCAATATTGTACGCGAAAAAATCGTGAAAACGTGTTTGTGTGCTATCGTGTACGTGTTCTCCGTCTTCCGACAAAGTTTGGTTCGATTTCAAGACGATGTCCTGACTTCTTCCAGGAAGTATCAACTAACTTTCGTCTGCCGCTGTGTAACTTTTGATAAGAATTAGTTACGGGTTAAGAAACTTTTCATCAATTAGAGACAAAAATATTGTCTGTAAATTTGTTATTTTGTTATTCCAACGCCTCGAGGAAGAATCACATAATTTAATTACTATTTATACAAATAACTGTGAAAAGCCGTGGATTTGCGTAAACTCTCTCGGCTTTAGTGAAGAATTCAGTGGAAGAATTTGATTTTCTAATTCGTTGACTTTCTTTTACGGGTTAATGTGTGTTTAATATATTAATTTGTCAATTTGTCACATTTAACAAAGCAAAATAAATATATTTTGGCTTTTCATTATTAATTATAAAAATTAAAATCTAAAATTTAATAAAAAAATATCTCATAATGTTGCTGCTTAAAGTGTTCATTGTCAGGTGAGTAGAGACTTAGTTTTTTTTTGGTTAATTGCACTTGGCGTGATAATATCTGGTGCAGTTTCTAGTTTCATAAATTATTTAGTTAACCAGAGAAGCTTAATAAACAACAACAACTAACTTGAAGAAGAGCTAATCTCTGACTTTTAATTAAAACTTACAACATCACAGCATAAATAATTACGTACGGTGCAGCAAGACAGAGTGACATTGATATATTATTAGGCATATTTTTAGATTGCATGCTTAAGGTTTAAGTTAATCAAGTTCAGTTAGGTGATTAAATAAAAAAATATATGTTTTAAGTAATTCACACTACACTTGTTTATGGCCTAATGAAGTACACGTACTGGCAATGATTAATCATATGCATGGAGTTCCCACAAGCGACTAAGAGAAAAATTTACCAAATAAGCCTGACAGAGCACGCTTCTGGTTATCAGAAGAAAATACGACATATGAAATTGGACTTCAGGAAATTCTGTGAGCTGTGGTTTTCACAAGATCAATGAATTCATTTCACTAATAATATCTTTTAGAATTACTTTAAATTGTAATTTAATTGTAATTGTAATAACAAAATAATCAAAAATAAATTAACATTATTAACATAGTTTTAATAGTTTATTCAAAATATTGGTCTTGTAAATCAAAAATAAGCATAATCTTTTAAAAGTCTCAAGAAAAGAAAATAATTCTTTATTATGAACAGTCATAAAATTTTTATGTTTCGGTTTAAAGACTTCATAATTATTTTAAAAAATTTCGATATTTTCCATTTGAATGAATATTAGTTTAAAAAAAAACTTTTCTTAAATTTTTTTTGAAATATACTTCTAATTAAAGACCCTATAATTATTTTAAAAAATTCCGACACTTTTTATTCGAATACATATTAGTTTCAAATTTATTTTTTTAATAAGCAAAATTTATAGATAGATAAAAATATTATTTTTTTAAGTAATACTCCTTAAAGAAACATACCTGTCGACTGCTTCAATAAAGCGTAATCTGCTTAGCACTACGGTATCGGTGCTGACGCTCATTGCTTACTAGGTAGACATATTATGCTACTGCTTATAGCCTATAATAACTTTTTGACCTTGTGGCTCTACGGAAAAGAAAGCAACTGAGCTGATTTCTACTTTATTTATACCTAATTTCTACTTTTTTTAGATGGTCAATGGTATTGGGGGGTTTTGAGTTAGAATAAGGCCCCTATGCACTGCGACCAGCTTGATCTATTATGCACGCCTTTGTATTTAGACATTTAGTAACTTAAGGAATCGACCAGCTCGCTCTGAGGAAGTTTTCGAAGGTCTTCATTCTCTAGTTAGTATGCACCTAAAATTTTGTTTCTTCAGTGCCCTAGTGTATCACAGTTGGTGATCAGATCTTCCATAGACTCTTCCTCATCACAGTAGAATCTGTGATAATAATAGTAATAATAGTATAAATTGGTATCTACACACTTAAAGTAAAACCAAAAACTATGTCAAGTATTGAACTCTACTACTATAACTAGTCTTTGTTGCCAGTGAGTATTGACAGCTAAACAATAGATATACTGTTAGACATAGTAAATTCGTTCAAAGATGCCTATAGTGGTTACGATAATATAATATCTCCATTTAATATATGGGAAGTTGAACGCTTTGAATTTTGCTTGGCTACCGATAAAGTATCGGACATCAGATTCTGATAGGGTTTTGTAATAATTTGTTTACAACAACTTTAGGGTCTATAACTAGAAAAACACTTCTAAATTCTGGTATTCTGTGTGATATTTAAAATTTCACGAAGATATGTAAATGTTTAATTATGAATCAACTTTAAAACAGATAAACAAATATTAATATATGGAGGCTTGCTTGGGTACCGATAAAGAATCGGGTATATTTTAAAAAAATAAAAAAAGTTAATTTTATTATTGATTTAATTTTTGGATTTTTGATATCTATATTATAATTTGTTTTAGGATATAATTAATAACTTTCACACCAGCTTTTTAAAAATTTGTTGGTATTTAATCATATTAAATGATCAAATACCAGTATGCATGTCCTAAAAAAACATTCAATGACTATTGATAGTTGTTGATAGCCTACTTTTCTTATATTCACTTAACTATAAGTTGGTCTTTACCCTGAACCTCAATATTTAACAGTTCAACCTCATTCTGATGTAATTTTGAGCACTAATTAACTTGAAATGACATGTTCCTAAGTACTTCGAAAGTACTACTACAAAAATGTTGATTATTCAAACATTACAAAATATTATTTTTGAAATATTGTTACTACAAAATAGACAAATACTTTTGTAAGTATCCTGGTTTAAATTAAGTCACTAAGTCTTCCAAAGATTCCAAAAATCAATAAAAATTATTGTGTCCATTCCTTTATAGTACCCTTAGAACAAACTAACTTTTGCTCTTCCAAAAGTACAAATCTTTGAACAATTATCTGGGTTATCAATCCTATAGATTGGCCTTTAAAATTTTCTTTAAAATTTTATCCCTGGATAACACATGTGTTAACAAAGCGATAGATGTAGTTGGTTAATAGATGAAGCTAAGTGGTCACTAAAATCAACCAGCATCTATTTTTAAGCCAATTAACATGATTTATTTAATCTTATTTTAGTCATCCATTTTTCTTTGCTCATTACAATTGCCTCCAAATATTATGCACTTTAAATAAGTATTTAATTTTTTTTTAATTAGATAGTTTTAATTATATTTAAAGCGGTGCTCTTCAAAAAGATTTTCTGTCTTCTTGAATTTATGTGATTAGCAAAATGTTTTCCGGTCTTTCACAAGACTTTTCTTAAAAGACAGACACTGACATTTTTTTATAATATTTATGGTTTAAGATAGTATAAAGTTCATGCTTTAGATAGTTTTGTATCTAGAACGCTTAACAATTTATTATTTTACTTATTTACATTTATCATTATAAAAAGAATTTCGTATTTCTTTTTTTAATATATAATTTACATATTTATCAAATATAAATCTTTTTCTTTAATGTCTGTAGTTATTTAATCTTTTTAGAGTGTTACTTACTTTGAAGTCACCAGCAAAAATTTTGTGGTTTAACTCTTATCATCTTATAAATTTCTAAACTTATAAATTTTTTTTGGATTTATTTATTGACCTGTTTTTTATATATTTTTTAAGCTGGCTATAGGTTCGCTTTCGTCATATATCTCAATGTTTAATATTTTTTATTACACTCTATATTTCGAATCTCCTTGAGAGTAATCATCAGGATCACGAACCAGCTCGTTCGGAGGAAGTTTTCGAAGGTCTTCATCCTCTAGTTAATATACACCTAAAATTTTGTTTCTTCTGTGTCCTAATGCATCACAGTTGGTGATCAGATGTTTCATAGACTCCTCCTCATCACAGAAGTTTTCGAAGGTCTTCATCCTCTAGTTAGTATACACCTAAAATTTTGTTTCTTCTGTGTCCTAATGCATCACAGTTGGTGATCAGATGTTTCATAGACTCTTCCTCATCACAGAAGTTTTCGAAGGTCTTCATCCTCTAGTTAGTATATACCTAAAATTTTGTTTCTTCTGTGTCCTAATGCATCACAGTTGATGATCAGATGTTTCATAGACTCTTCCTCATCACATCACATCTATGATAATAATAGTAATAATAGTACTAATTGGTATCTGCATACTCAGAGAAAAATCAAAGACTATGTCAAGTGTTGAACTCTAATATTATAACTATAATTCAATGTTTAATATTTTTTATTATACTCTATATTTCGAATTTCCTTGAGAGTGATCATCAGGATCACGATCTAACATAAATTAATATGACTAAAATTATGTCTACGTCTATCCTCTCTATTCTATCGTCTATATTGCACTTTCTTAACTTATTTTATTTTACAATTTTAAGTATATATTTTTGGCAAGGTTAACCTTCGCTTGGGTCAACAAATTATTAATCCAAATATTTTTTATTTAAAAAACCTTGTACTTAATATAATTATTGAAATTAAATTTGTTACTATTATATAGTTTAAAAAAATTAATTACTAAACAAGCATATTAAACTCACCATTAACTTATTGCCCTCAATATTTTGCAATTTTCTATCTTTTTATGACCTTCCAGATACAAATCTTGTTTGGTCTAAATATGTTTTTATTACATAACAAAAACTAGAATTGATTAGTTTAATAACACACAATTTAAATCAATTTGCTATAATTTGCCAGCTTTTATTAGCATGTAACTCCTCAAATCACATGCAACATAGTTGGCACAAGAAAGACCACGAATATTTTTTCCCATCCTCCAGAAGACATTTAATTGTGTCTCTTTCAAGATACAATTACGCAATAAAAAAAAAGCATATGTTAAAATTATAACTCCAGGATAAATCCAGATTATTCAAAGAAATTTACATATAAGCCATTAATCATAGCACAGTGTGGACATAACCGTATACTTCAACTTTAGTTAAATAAATTATGAATAAGATACAAAAATCAAGCAAAAAATAAAGTCATATTTTTAAACCTGTTATTAGCTGAAAACAGAACTTTGATAAAAGTGAAATAATTTTCATATATATTATAAATTCTTTCTTTAGGCTAAAAATGTTATTCCCCTATTAACAGTAACGTTTGTTTGGAATTTTCTATTTTTATTTCTATTATATGTAATTTTTATATTTTACTTTTTTCCTACTCATATTAACACATTTTTTGTTTTTTGTTTGATTTTTAATACTGCATGGAACCGTTTGGAGTATTGTATCTCAGCTTTCGTGGTAGACATAAATTGCTGTGCAATTTGCACTACACAGACCTTTCGTCATTAATTTGCTTCATACATTATTCACATCTCCAATATAATGAATTGCAGCAGTTGACACGCAATCTTTTCGTCATTATCCATAAAACATTACCGAACCAATAAAAAAATGCTAGAAATTTGTGTAGAAAAAAGAACTTCACTCTGAACAGCAAAAA